CAGTCTGGGACTTTGGGGGAAGTTGCCTCAGTTTCCTCACCTAAAAATGGAAACAGTGAGTGTGTCCCTTAGCAGAGCATAAACAAGGGAGAGCATAAACAAGGGAGAGCATCATAGAGACTGGTGTGAGGTTGGTGTGGACAACGTGTCCTTCCCTGTCAGTGTTACCTCCTGTAAGGTAGCAGCGTCAGAAGCTACTTAACTTCAGAAGGAGGGATGAGAAGAATCAATATCAGCCCGAAGCTGATTCCTATGAGGTAGAAGTCAGACATACCTCCATTCTCCAACTTTTTTACCAATTCTAATACCAGCCGTCCTCCCCATGGAACTCTTTATTTCTCTGCTGGGTTCAATAATTCATTACAGTGGCCACACAGAACTCACAGACCATACTCATGATTTTGTGGTTTATTAAAGAAGTAACAGGTTACAACTCAGGATCAGGATCAACTTGGAGGTAACAGGATACAACTCAGGAGACAGGATACAGTTCTTCAGTCAAGACAGCTTCCAAGCTAGACAGCTCTCAGCTTTTTCTTGGCCATGCCCGCCGGCAGGCCTCACTCTCACCCTGCCCTCCACTGCCAGGCTTCACTCTTAGCCAGTCTAGCAGGCCCTTCTCTTGGCCATGCTAGCCTCCTCTTGACCTCTGCCCTGCTTCAGCAAGTGTTACAGCTCTTTGGCTCTGCTGACTCTGAGGTACTCCACTCCGCAAGCAAGCCTCCTGCCCTAAGACGCTCAGTTCTTTCACTCCATGGGTTGGCAGGACCACTGTAGCCATGTTGCTCTGTGGGCTAGGAAGCCCACCACAGCCATGTTGTGCCAGTCTCCTGGTTCACTGCTCGTACTGCTACTGCCATCTCATGCCATCTTGAGCCATCTCATGCCATCTGCAGTGTTATAGCTTTCTGTCTTCTGAGTCTAGGGGGCTCTCAGCACAGGGACCCCAGATTCAAAGGACTCACTCTGCTCCTGGCTCTTCTCGTTGGTATTGAGGTCCCCCTTGACCTCTGTAGGATTAGCTCTTGTATAAGCCTATTCCTCCCATCAAAATCATGAGCTGACCTATCCCCTTGGTAGACCACAGTCACCTAATTTGCTTAGTAATTGACCAGTCCCAAGGGTTTTATTCACCTTGTTTGCACAGTAAACTGTTCAGTACCTGCAAGCGTTTTTATGTACCTTCTTTACATAGTAAACTGTCCAACCCCTTCACAAGATTGTAGCCTAGGAAATCATCTTGGCAGAATTATAAATGCAGGACCAGAAAGGCCATAAAAACCCATAGCATTGCACCTTCATTCTTCCTAAACCACAAAGATGTTCATTCCAACCAAGAGAAGGGCCATCCTGTCTTGAGAGAAAAATGTATCCTCGGATATTATGAGCTGGATCGGGTGTTTAACCGTGGATGTCTCTGATTTAAGAAAACTTTCTTTTGTTGTTAGTTGCTGTCGAGTCGGCTCCAACTCATGGGCGTCCCCACATACAACAGAATGAAACGCTGCCCAGCTCCGTACCATCTCCACAATCATTGATTTATCCAAGTTCATTGTTGAGGCCACTGCGTATTTTTAGTACCTTCCAACCTAAGGGGCTCATCTTTCAGCACTCTATTGGACAATGTTCTGTTGTGATCTGTAGGATTCTCAATGGCTAATTTTTGAAGGTAGATCACTAGGCCCTTCTTCCTAGTCTGTCTTAGTCTGGAAGCTCTGCTGAAACCTGTCCACCATGAGTGACCCTGCTGATGGTTGAAATATCAGTGATAGAGCTTCCAGCATTATAGAAACCTTTCTTCAACTGCCCGAAAGAATTCAGAAGACAAAGACCATTCAAAAGTATCTGGATACCTTCCAGTTATGGGCATCCCTGGCACAGGGTTGGGGGCAGCCCAGCAGGGGCCCAGTGGCCCTCTGAGCCACAGGCCCAGTCTGCACCTGGGCCTTATTTTTCCTAGAAACCATGACCAGAGGGTTCAGTTATAGGGTCATTTCTGTTCCTTGTTCCTTCTGTTTTGTAAACTTTTAGTAACCAAAACACCAGTTGCCGTCAAGTCATCCCCGACTCATAGCAACGGTACATGTGTCAGAGTAGAACTGTGCTCCGTAGGGTTTTCAGTGGCTGGTTTTGTGGAAGTAGATTGCCAGGTATTTCTTCCTAGTCTGTCTTAGTGTCAAAGTTCCACCAAAATCTGTCTACCGTGGGTGACCATGCTGTTATTTGAAATGCCAGTGGCATAGCTTTACTAGTTGCTGTTGAGTTGACTCCATCTCAAGGCAACCTCGTGTGTCAGAGTAGAACTGTGCTCTGTAGGGTTTTCAGTGGCTGCTTTTGCAAAAGCACATCACCAGACCTTTCTTCTGAGGCACTTCTGGGGGGGGACACAAACCTCCAACCTTTTGGTTAAGCACTCAGCTTAACTGTTTGGACCACCCAGGGACTCCCAAAGCCTCTAGTAAGGTTATGTATTTTTCTTCCATAGAGTACAACTAATACTAAAAAAGAAAAACGTACTTTACATTATGGAGGAGGAAAAGTTGGTTACGTGGAAGCCTTCTTCGCGAGCATTTTGCCAGAACTGTGAGGTTTTTCTGGGCTGTGGGAAGATGGTGTTGGCACCTGGCCCTCCCCAGCCTCACCTTCTGGGGCCTCATCCTCCCTCCTCTCACCTGACCCCACTTGCTCCATCCAGGGGCAGGTTGCAACCCTATGACCTGCATGGGAAAGACAATAGCACCCCTTGCTGTGAGCACCAGACCAGCATTTCATCATTGGCTCAGATGAGTAATTACACAAACCGGATATTTTTAGACAGGCTGTTAAGACATGCTGTGTGCTGGGACCGCATACCAGACGCATGAGGTCACCCGGCCTGGGAGCAGTCAGTGAATGCAGAGCCAGAGCTCAGGATGGTGGCCGTGCTCCCCTGTAACCTAACTCTGTGTCCCCAGAGCCCCAGTCTTGGCTGTTTTTCTAGAAATCAGAAATCGCCGCATAGACTCGTCTCCAGGAGTCTCTGAGTGGTACAAATGATCGACTACTAGCCAAGAAAGACTGGAGGCTTGAATCCACCCAGAGGTGCTGTATCTTAGTGTCCAAGAGCCGCTGAAACAGAAATCTCATGAGTGGGTGGCTTTAAAGAACAGAAATGTATTTCCTCACAGTTTAAAAAAAAAAAAACCAAACCGTTTGCCGTCGAGTCAATTCTGACTCATAGAGACCCTGTAGAACAGAGTAGTACTGCTGTATAAGATTTCCAAGGAGCAGCTGGTGGATTCGAACTGCCGACCTTTTGGTTAGCAGCTGAGCAGTTAACCACTTCACCACCAGGGCTCTCCTCACAGTTCAGGAGGCTCGAATTCCTGGTGATCTACTTCCAAAAGGTCATAGACATTGAAAACCCTGTGGAGCAATTCTACTCTGCACACACGGGGTCACCATGAGTTGGACTTGACTCGGCTGCAATTGTTTTGTTGTTTGTTTTTTAGCGTGGTCCTAGATTCGTCTCTCCTGGTGTGGCCGGAGGACCTCTCACCTGAGGTCTCTCACCTGAGGTCTCTCACCTGAGGTCTCTCACCTGTGGACCCTTGCATCTGGGGGCCACTCAGCGGGGAACCCACCCCCAGCCCCATCTCCTCTCGGCTTCTCTATCCATCCCAGCTCCTTCCCTGCTCAAGTCGCCTCAAGGCCCCCTCACACCCTTGCCCCTTGTCTGTTAAAGCTCCTGGGGTAGGGGGTGCTGGCTGGGAAGAGGCCCACCAGGGAACCTGGGGGGTGGGAATGTTCTCTGTCGTAATCTGGGTGCAGGTTGGTTGGTTACCCGGGAGGCCCTGAGGGGAAACCCCCGAGCTGCACACTTGCTGCCCTCTGCATCTGACACCTGGAAAAGGTGAAAAACCTCCCCACTTGTCTTTACCCCAAATCACAGGACTCCTTGAGAGCACACTATCTTCACTTCTGCATCTTCACATCCAGCTGGGGCCAGCCGAGTCCTGAGCTTGTATCAGACCAGGGGCAGCCAATTTCTTCTGTAAAGAGCCCGATGATAAACATGTCAGGCTCTGTGGGCTAGGTGGTCTCTGTCGCGGTAACTCTCCTCAGCCATTGTAGCGTGAAAGCAGCCCAGGTGATATGTAAATAAATAGGCATGGCTGTGTACCAATAAAACTTTATTGATAGACTCTGAAATTGGAATGGAATTTTCATTGAGTCATGAAATATTATTCTTTGTATTTTTTTTTTTTTATATCATTTACAAATGGTAGAAGCCATTCTTGACTGTTGAAAGCAGGGGCTGAGGCACATACCTACACTAATGTTCATTGCAGCACTTTTCACAACAGCCAAAAGATGGACACGACCCAAGTGTCTATCAACAGACGGATGGATAAACACAATGTGGTCCATCCATTACAATTGAATATTACTCAGCCATAGTAAGAAGTGAAGTCTTGATACATGCTACAGTATAGATAAACCTTGAAAACATCATGTTGAGTCAAAGAAGCCAGACACAAAAAGACAAATAGTGTGTGATTCCATTTATATGAATTGTCTAGAACAAGCAAATCCATAGAGACAAAGTAGAGTAGTTGCCTGGGGATGGAGGAGGGGAGTGACTGCTAATGGGTGTGAAGTCTCCTTTTGGAGTGAAAAGAATGTTCTAGATGGGGTGGTGGCCACACAATATAGTGAATATAAGTAATGCTGCTGAATCGTACACTTAAAAATTATTAAAACTGCAGATTTTATGTTGTGTATGTATTTTACCACAATAAAAATTTCAAACAAAAGCGTTCCGGGCCCATAGGCCACACAGCGCTGAACCCAGCCCCACGCGAGAGGCGCACAGGGTTTTGCAGGCAGACCTCTGCAGCACCCAGGGTGTTTCTGGCCCTTCCCTGCGCCCTGAGTGATGGGTAGCAGCTGCTGGGGAAACGTGGTATCTGCTGCTGTGAGGCAGAACGGTCTGAACACCAGCTTCTGTTTCCCCACAGGCTTTCGGCAATGCCAAGACAGCCCACAACAACAACTCCAGCCGCTTTGGGAAGTTCATCCAAGTCAACTACCTGGAGAGCGGTATTGTGCGTGGGTGAGTGTGGTGCTGTGGGGGTCAGTCAGGGTCCCTGTGGTGGGAGGGTGTGAGTGCTGCCACCACAGGTGTCAGTCCAGGGTCTCCATCCCCAAGGGCAGGAGGGGAGGAGTGCAGCAGCTGTGGGTGCCGGCATCAGTTTAGGGTCTTGGGTCCCTGCAGTGGGAGGGGTGTGAGTGCGGCCACCACAAGCCCCAGTGTCGATTTGGGACCTTGGGGTCCCCTCAATGGGAGAGGGGTGAGTGCAGCCATTTCAGGCTCTGGTCTAGTGTCTTGGGGTCCCTGTGGGTGGGAGGAAGTGCAGCAGCCCTGGGCGCCTGACATCAGTTGAGGTCTTGAGGATCCTCGCAGGTGGGAGGAGGTGAATGGCAGTTGTAGATGAGCACTCAGCATCAGCTTGGAGTCTTAGGGTTCCCTACAGGTGGGAGCCAGCCCTTTATGGGAGCTCAGTGCTGAGACTATCACCATGTGAAAGTTTATTTCACCATGTGAAATGAGTGTGATGTTAGGTCATTGATGTGATGGTCTGAGCCAGGTGCGGGTGTGAGATACTTGATGGGTGGGGCAGTGTCTCGGTTAACCTGACCCTGAGGTCATCGGGGCATTGTGAGATTGGGGGGCCTGGGCGCTGAAGGAATAGGTATGATGAGCTTGAGATGCTCAGGTATCGGGGTTCACCACCAACAGCAATGATGATCACCCTTATCTCCTGGTCTCAGTGAGATTTCTGATCTGGTTGGTCTGGGGTGCCACAGACATCGTTGGTGTAGACTATAGCCTCTTACCAAGCATGTGTCCTTTCAGCCAGAAGGAGACGTGACCCTAGGTAACAAAGTGAGACAGGCATCCAGGGAGGTACCGAAGGATGAGAGGGTGGGTGGATTCATGAGTGGATGGATGGATGAGTGGGTGGGGTTGGCTGGTGGATGGATGGATGATGCATTCATATGTGGATGGATGCATGGATGGGTGGATGGGTGGGTGGGTAGATGGATGGATGGATGGGTAGGTGAGTGAGTGGATGGGTGGGTGTGGGTATGTGGATGGATGGATTCATGAGTGGATGAATAGAGGTATTGATTCATGACTGCATGGATAGGCAAGTGGGTGGATGGATGGATTTATGAGTGGATGGGTAAGTGGACAGGTGGGTAGATGTGTGCTTGAGCAGGCAAGTGGGTAGATTGATAGATGACTAGGTGGGATCACCCAGGAGAAAGGCCACTGTCCCAGTCAACAGCTCGGCTCTCATCCATGCCTTGGCCAAGAGATAGGCTTTGGACAAAGGCTAGTGATCAGATTTTACAAGTGACCAGACTTGGAAGACTAAGAAATATACTGTGTTTCTGAGGCAGTATCCCCCAGGATCTCAACCGACTAATACCATCTGAGAGTGATGGGTTCCCAGTGACAAAAGACCTTGGTGACAAGAGCCCCTGCAGGGTGTTCCCAAGGGTGGTAGTTCTTGGTTAAATGAACATTATCTCCAGAAGGACATATATATCAACCCCCAGGGAGTGCAGAGGCTGGAGGAGAAGAGTTATATCTGCATATGTCAGCCAAGGATCCCCTGCTTGTCAGGAGCTCTTTAGGCTCCACGAGAATCTCAGTTCTCGGGGTGAGGGAAGACACTCGCAACAGGTACATGAGGAGGTCCTGGGCCACGAGTGGCAAGGGAGGCCTGGTGTCAAGGTGACCCTTGGGCCACCACCCACATGCCACAAGGGTGCAAGCTGACAGCAGGACAGGAACACGCCATGGAGTGAGGGCGGTGGGGAGAGGAAGGGTGCAGCTGGGGAACGGCACACTTCTGCTGAAAAAAGGCAAGACAGGAAATACTTTCACATGACTCAGCTCTGCCATTGCCTCTCAAAGCAGCCCTGGACCGCCCACAGATGGCAGGACAGACAAGGCTAGATTGGGGCTGGGGCTTGCCAGTCCAGGTGGGGGAGGATGGGTGAGGCCACAGAGGCCCGTGGGCCAAGGTCCAGGCTTGGGAAGTCTGCCTCCGCTGACATTGAGGGTCCCCTGGCCGCTGTGTGGAGGAATGAATGGATGGATGGATCCATAAGTGGGTGGTGGATGGATGGATAGATGGATTCGTGAGTGGCTGGATGATGGATGGATGGCCCATGATGGCATGGGGAAACCACCGAAGACAGGCTAGGCACGGTGGGGCTAGTATTCTGACGAAGTTGGGGGATAGAGCCAGCAGGAGTTTTTCACTAACCAGCCGAGGGTCTGAGAGGACAAGACAATTCAGAAGGACTCGGCATAGCCAGTGATGCCACCACACTTGACTGAGGCAACAGGATATGGGAATCAAGAGTCAGGCTCACACTTTCTGCATTTGGGGCACCCTCCAGCCACAGTCAGGCACAGAGACAAAAAGTGGGGCCATCGGCGTATTAATTGTATTTAGAACCATGAAGCTTCCTGGCATCCCCCAGGAGAGTGGCAGCTGGAGAGGAGTCTGGGGTCCAAGTCAGGCATTCTGGAAGGTTCCACAGCCTGGCTGCATGCAGGAATACCTCATATCCAGCTCCCCAGATTCTAGTGGCAGCCATGGGACTTTTAAAGATCCAGACAAGACCATGAGCAGGAGGGTGAGAAGCTGTGGCCTTTCAGCAGTTGGGGAGGCCCAGGTGCCGACTTCCAGAAACAGAGAAGGCAGCAGCCCTGCAGGAAGGAGGAGGCCATCGAGGATGACAGACAGAGACTGAGGATTGATCCAGAGCGTCAAGATTCTTCTCCCTCTCGAGGGCTGTTTCAACAGACTATTCATATTCACTGCGTGACAGGAAGTTTATTTCCTGAGTCCTTCAGCCTCTGGCTACCACCCGATGGCCAGCTCGTTGTGCTGTGTGACTTGTGTGTTGCTGTGATGATGGAAGTTATGCTACTGGTATTTCAAATACCAGCAGGGTCACCCATGGTGGACAGGTATCAGCAGAGCTCAGACTAAGACAGACTAGAATAAAGGCCTGGCGATCTACTTCTGAAAATCAGCCAGTGAAAACTGTGGATCACAACAGAACATTGTCCACTCACTTGCTTTGGACATGTCTTCAGGAGGGATTAATTGCTGGAGGAAAACATCATGTTTGGTGAAGCCATGTGTCAAAGGAGAACTGGGCTCCAGAGATTTTTCACTGGCTGATTTTTCGAAGTAGATCACCAGGCCTTTCTTTCCAGGTGCCTTTGGTTCAACTCGAACCTCCAACCTTTCAGCTAGCAGCCAAGCACATTCCCTGTTCGCATCACCCAGGGACTCTCTCCTCCCCCTAGCTCCCGCCTTTTCCTCGTAGCCCCTGTCTTGGCTGCTAACCAAAAAGTTGGAGTTTGGAGTCCACCCAGAAGCGCTTTGGAAGAAAGGCCTGGTGGTCTACTTCCGAAAAACCAGCTATTGAAAACCATATGGAGCACAGTTCTGCTCTACACACATGGGGTCGCTATGTGTCAGTCTAATAGCTGGGTTTTTTCTTTTTTCTTTTTTATAGTTATTTACATTGTATTAAAGGAAGTTATCTTGTAGCTAGCCGTACCACAGAGATCTTAGTTTCTTAGAGCTATTGTAACAGAAATACCACAAGTGGGTGGCTTTAATTAACAGAAATTTATTTTTTCACAGTTTAGGAGGCTAGAAGTGCTAACTCAGGGCACTGGCTTTTGGGGAAGGCTCTTTCTCTGGGGGAAGGTCCTGTCTCAGCTTCTCTAGCCCACCACCTTGGAGTTCCTGGGCTTCTAGACTGGTCTGCCTCCCTCATCTTCACACAGTGTTGGTCTGCCCCCTGGGTCTGCCTTCTTCTGTGCCCAGCCTGCTTTTTATAACTCAAAAGTGATTGGCTTAAAACACACCCCACACTGATTATTGTTGTTGTTAGGTGCCATCCAGTCGGTTCCAACTCATAGCGACCCTGTATACAACAGAACAAAACAGTGCCTGGTCCTGCACCATCCTCACAGTCATTGCTGTGTTTGAGACCATTGTTGCGGCCACTGTGTCAAACCATCTCATGGAGGGTCTTCCTCTTTTTTGCTGATCGTCTACTCTACTAAGCATGATGTCCTTCTCAGGGTCTGATCCCTCCTGATAACATGTCCAAAGTATGTGAGATGAAGTCTCGCCATCCTTGCTTCTAATGAGCATTCTGACTGTACTTCTTCCAAGACAGGTTTGTTCGTTCTTCTGGCAGTCCAGGGTGGATTCAATATTCTTTGCCAACACCATATTCAAAGGCATCAATTCTTTGGTCTTCCTTATTCATTGTCCAGCTTTCACATGCATAGGAGGCGATTAAAAATACCATGACTTGGGTCAGGCGCACCTTGTCCTTAAAGTGACATCTTTGTCTGACGCTGCACTGATAGGGCCTCATTAACATAACAGAGAAAACCCTATTCCCAAATGGGATCACATCCGCAGGTATTAAGGATCAGGAGATACCAACACATAATTTTAGGGGACACAATTAAATCCATAACACGGTAACAGTTATTTATTCAACAAAAAGTATTAAAATTTCAGGGATCACAATAGAGGGTCCCACAAAGAGTGGGAAAAAAATGTAGAACAAAATTCAAATTCACAAAGACAGACCAGACTTACTGGTCTGACAGAGACTGCAGGAACCCCTGAGACTATGGCCACTAGACACCCTGCTAACTCAGAACTGAAGCCACTCCCGAAGTCCACCTTTCAGCCAAAGATCAGACAGGCCTTTAGAACAAACAGTAACACACATGAGGAACATGCTTCTTAGTTCAGTCAAGTAGATGAGACCAAATGGGCAACACCTGCTCAGAAGCAAAGACGAGAAGGTGGGAAGGGACAGGAAAACTGGACAAATGGCCAAGGGAACCTGGGGTAGGAGAGGGGAGAGTGCAGTGCTGACATACTGCAGGGATTGCAACCAATGTCGCAGAACAATTGATGTATAAATTTTTGAATGAGAAACTAACTTGTGCTGTAAACTTTCATCTAAAGCACAATAAATTTTTTTTTAATTGTGCTTTAAGTAAAAGTTTACAATTCAAGTTACTCTCGTACAAAAATTTATACATACATCGTTATGCAACCCTAATTGCTCTCCCTATACTGTGACAGCACACTCCTCCTTTTCACCCGGGATTTCCCGTGTCCATTCAACCAGCTCCTGACCCTCTCTGCCTTCTTATCTCACCTCCTGACAGGAGCTCCCCATTTAGTCTCTTGTATCTACTTGAGCTAATAAGCACACTCTTCATGAGTATCATTTTATGTCCCATAATCCAGTCTAATCTTTGTCTGAAGAGTTGGCCTCAGGAATGATTTTAGTTCTGGGTTGACTGAGAGTCCAGGGGCCTTGCTTTCTGGGGTTCCTCCAGTCTCAGACCATTAAGTCTGGTCTTTTTACTAGAATTTGAGTTCTGCACCCCACTTTTTCATGCTCCATCAGGGACACTCTGTTACGTTCCCTATCAGGGTGGTCATTAGTGGTAGCCAGGCACCATCTAGTTTTTCTGGTCTCAGGCTGATGAAGTCTGGTTTATGTGGACCTGTCTTTTGGGCTAATACTTTCCTTGTGACTTTGGTGTTCTTCATTCTCCTTTACTTCAGGTGAGTTGGGACCAACTGGTGCATCTTAGATGGCCACTTGCTAGCTTTTAAGACCCCAGACGCCACTAACCAAAGTAGGATGCAGAACATTTTCTTAATAAACTTTGTTATGCCAGTTGACCTAGATGTCGCCTGAAACCGTGGTCCCCAGACTCCTGTCCCTTCTACTCTGTCCCTCCAAGTGTTTGGTTGTATTCAGGATACTTCTTAGCTTTGGTTTAGTCCAGTTGTGCTGACTTCCCCTGTAGTGTCTAAAGCACAGTAAAATTTTTTATGAAATAAAAATTTAACATTTTATTCCTTTTTCTTTTTACAGAGCTGTTGTCGAAAAATATCTGCTAGAAAAATCTCGTCTCGTCTCCCAAGAGAAGGACGAGAGGTAGGAAGGGGACATTTCCCTCACTGATCTTTGAACACTGCACCCACATCTGCCTTTGTCAGTTCCAAGGAGAGAGTAAGCTTGGATGGTGCAAACGGTTAAGTGCTGTACTACTAGCCGAAAGGTTGGAGGTTCAAACCCACCCAGAGGTGTCTTGGAAGACAGGCTTGGCGATCCAAAGGGTCACAACCTTGAAAACGCTATGGAGCATAGTTCCACTCTGCATACACGGGGGCGCCATGAGTTTGAATCGATTCTGCAGCAGCTGGTTTGGTTAATGGCTTGGGGATTAGTTATTTTGGGGTCCCTGGGTGGTATACATGGTGAACACGTTCGGCTACTAACCGGTAGGTTCGAGGTTTGAGTCCCCCCAGACAGTGGCATAACTAGGGTTGATGTCACTCAGTGCAGTAATTCATGGTGTCACCTCGCATCATGGACCTCCTCCCGTACCAGACCATACAGAATCCTTAGTAATGTTTTTTTGTACTAACGTTACTCGTAAATCGTAGTTTCCATATATCACTCCTTCTTTCCTTTAATTACTACTTCATTCTCAAAAAAGTTATTGATATAGGTTCACAAATACTCATCACAACAATATGGGAGCTAAAACACCAGAAAATATGACAAACTCAGTGCTTAAAACACGGGCAGCAATGGTGTGTGCTCGTAGCGCGTACAGATGAAACCACATAATTCGAAGCGTCATTGTAATTGGGTGATAATGGCAGTTCTGATCAGAGTGCATTAGAAGGTTCAAAAAGTAAATTAGCAGAATTTTAGCCTTGTAAGTATATTGATACGTATAAGCTATAACTAACTACAGGGATAATTTTATAGACAGTCATTTTGGTGTCACCCCCGACAGTGTCCCCTGGTACAACCCGCACCTTTCTAGTGACGCCCTTGCCCCCAGAGGTGCCTCGGAAGAAGGGCCTGGTAATCATCATCTAAAAAATCAACCACTGAAACCCCTGTGGAACACAGTTCTACTCTGACACACATGGGGTCGCCATCAGTTGAGGTTGACTTGACAGCAGCTAACGTCAACAACAGCAAGCGTAGGAGCTCGTGTTCTGAGATCCAGAGAACGTCCCAAGAGGCCATAGCTGGTCTTTTTTGGACCATGACCCCCTTTCAAGAAGGGGGCCTGCTCTTCCGACATCTTTGCCAGGCCGACTGTCATAGCCACCAGCTTTGTGTTCATACTGGCTCTGCCCCCTTTTCATATCAGCCCCAGGCTTTTGCCCAGCAGAGTAGGTGCCCAGATCCTTGCCAAAACCTGGGGAGGTCAGAAGACAAACATGCTGTGGAGAAATCTGCTTACCCAAGAAGCCCTTTTTTTTCCCCTCCTTTTAAACCATCAGAAATCTACATAACAGAGCATATACCAATTCCGCAATTTCCATATGTCCAATTCGGTGACATGAATTACATTCTTCAAGCTGTGTAACCATTCTCCCTGTCCTTTTGTCAATTATTCCACCACCGTTGACATAAATTCAATGCCCCTAAGCAAACTACCCCTTCCGCCTCAATCCCACTCCCGGTAACCACTAATAATCTTTGGTCTCTATGCATTTGCCTATTCTAGATATTTTGTGTAAGTGGAGCCATACAATATTTGCCCTTTTGCAACTGACTTCACTCAGCATGATGTTTTCAAGGTTTTTCCATGTTGTGTATATCAGGACTTCATTTCTCTTTATGCCAAGAAACGCGTTTTTAAGACAAAATAAGGACGACTTACTGTTTTAAATTTGTACATATTTGAGGTCCTTTTTCCTCCCTGGCATAGTCCCTGAGTGGCACAAATGGATTGTGCTCAACTACTAATCTACAAGTTAAGTGATTTGAGTCCACCCAGAGACACCACAGAATAAATGCCTGGCCATCTGCTTCCGAAATATTACAGTCAAGAAAACCCTATAGAGCACAGTTCTACTCTGCAACAAATGGGATCATCACGAGTTGTAATCGACTCAACAGCAAAGGGCTTGGGTTTTGGGTTTTCTCTGCCCAAGAATGGTCTGTAAAGCAGCGTTAGAGGTGGTTTGAAGAGCAGCTGTTGCTCAACCCCCAGAAATGCCTTTTCTCCCCTCACTGTGGCCCACAGGAACTACCACGTGTTCTATTACTTGTTGCTCGGGGTCAGCGAGGAAGAACGCCAGGAATTCCAGTTCAGGCAACCAGAAGATTACTTCTACCTCAACCAGGTAAACAGCCCCAAGCACAGCCATAAACACCCTCTCTGATCCCTGCCTGCTGTTTTTGGGCAGCCAGGAGCCTGTAGGTCATCTGATCTGGCTGTCCTTGGCTCCCAAGTCGGCTCCAAGGAGCCAGAGGAGGTGGCACAAAAGACCCATTGATTCCCGAGTTCCAGCCACACCCACTGGCTCTCGCTGGAATCTTGCACACGCCGCCCTCTCCCCTCCAGAAACACTCAGAGTCCTGATGTACAAAAAATTTGCCAAGTTTCAAAGGCCAAGGAACAGTTCCCACAAAGCTGTCCTCACCCCAGACACCAGCCATAGGTTCAGGACCCCGCCAGGACCGCTCCCATTTCCTACCAGCTGGCTACAAACTCAGGGGTCTCTACGGTCACGCCTAGGCTCAGTCATTCAGTAGGATGACTCATGGAACCCAGGGAAGCACTATCCATATGATGACAGTTTTATTTCAGTGAAAGGGTGCAGGTTGAAATTAGCCGAAGGAAGAGGCACATGAGCAGGGTCTGGGAGGGTCCCTATACAGAACTTCCAGGCTTCCCTTACCCTGGAAGCCTGGATGAGGTGACCTTCTCTAGGCCTCGTGTGTGACCACATGCACGGGATATTGATGACCGGGGAGCTTCCCCGAGCCTTGGTGTTCAGGGTTTTTATTGGATTGCAGTCACAGTGACATGGTTGGCCACCCGCGTGGCTGACCTTTAGTCTCCATTCCCTAGAGAGCTCAGAACTGATCCTGTGTGGCCCAGAGCCCCCATCATAACTCATGGTAGACTGTTATCCTACTTTCCTAATGCTACTGTAACAGAAATGCCACAAATGGGTGGCTTTAAAGAACAACGGTTTATTTTCTCATAGTCTGAATTTAGGACGTGGCTCTAGGGGGAGGTCCTTCCTTGTCTATTTCAGCTTCTAGTAGCTGCCAGCATTCCTTGGTGTTCCTGGGCTCATCCATGCACCTGTCTCCCTTGTCCTCAGACAGAGCATATCTTCCCCCAGTATCTGCATCTGTGTCTAATCTACTCATAACTCAAAAGTGATTAGGTTTAGGACTCACGCTTCACCTATATGGCCTCATTAACATAACAAAGAAAACCCTCTTCCCAAACAGGATCACATCCACAGGTGTAGGGGTTAGGACAGCACCACATATTTTGGGGGACACAATTCAGTCCATAATATTTGTCCAGTGGCCAGAGCCCCCAAGTAGAGATACTCGAATCAGGCAGAACCTTCCAGGGGCCTGGAGGTCACGTCCCAGGAGCCGAGGGCCACAACCAGACCTCGATTTGGGCCAAGCTAATTCTTCACTAGAGTCTTAGTCTCCTGGGGCTGTCATAGCAGAAATACCACAAGTGGGTGGCTTGAAAGAACAGGAATTTATTGCCTCACAGTTCCAGGGCTAGACATCTGAATTCAGGGTATCAACAGGTCTGTGCTTTCTCTATGAGCTCCAGGGGAAGATCCTTCCTCATCTCTTCCACCTTCTATAACCCTGGGCGTTTCTTGGTTTGTAGACAAATCCTCACATGGTGTCTGTCTTCCCCTGTGTGTGTCTCTCCCTGTCTTTTTTCCCTTTTTCTGTTTGTTTTGGTTATGTTTTGTTTTGTGTTTCCCTTTAGTTTCCTAGAGCTACAGTAACATAAACACCACAAGTGAGTGGCTCTAAAAAACAAATTTATTTTCTCACAGTTCTGGAGGCTACAAGTCCAAATTAGGGTCTGGGCTGTGTTGATTCCTTCCTTGTCAGTACCCCTGGGCATTCCTTGGTTCTTTGGCTTGTAGACGATCTTCTCATGATGTCTACCTCCATTTGTGTGTCTCTTTCTGTTCTGTTCTTCTTACAAGCAGGGCTTCAAACTGGTTCCTTCTGGTTGGAACCCCTGCTGAAAATTTGCCTTTCTAACAAGTTCCCAGGCGATGCTAATGCTGCTGGGTAGGGACCAATTCTGAGAACCACTAGTAGAACTGTGGTTCTCAAAATTTGTTATACATAAGGGGATCTTGTTCTAATGTAGATTTTGATTCAGTGTATCTGGGATAGAAATGCAAATTCTCAGCTTGGGAATTCTCAGTTGGAAGCCCTGTTTATAATACAAAAGGGATTAGATTTAGGACCCTCCCTACTCCAGTGCAGCCTCATTAACCTAACTGATAACATCTGCACAGAAAAACCCCATTTCCCCAAACAAGGTCATAATCACCAGTGCAGGGGTGAGGACTCCAGCCTGCCTTTGTGGGGACACCACTCCACCCTAACACCCACACTCACCACCCTGTGTTTCAGCACAACTTGAAGATTGAGGACGGGGAGGACCTGAAGCATGACTTTGAGAGGCTCAAGCAGGCCATGGAGATGGTGGGCTTCCTGCCGGCCACCAAGAAACAGTGAGTGTCCATCCACACCCGCGTTCACTCCCCCTTCCACATCACTAATCGGAGACAGGCAGCAAATGGGCCAGCCTGGTGACAGTAAACACAGGAAAGGAGCTCACACCATGAGTCAGAAGTCCCCAGGAGTGAGCGTTAAAACCACCCCAGGGTCCCCCCACACCTGCCAGGAGAGCACAACTGGGCACCGCACTTTGGAAAACAGTGTGGCAGTGTCTATGACAGCTGGGTATACAAAATTAAATACTCACATCTGTTCACCAGAGATGACTGTGAATGCCCACAGCAGCCTTATTTATAATCACCAGAAAGCTGCCAGGAGTCTCGGAGTGGCGCAAAGCGTTAAGCGCTCAGCTACTAACTGCAAGGTTGACAGTTCCAGTTCACCCAGAGGCACCTCAGAAGAAAGGCCTTGTGATCTACTTCTAAAAAATCAGCCATTGAAAACTCTGTGGAGCAGTTCTATTCTGAAACACATGGGGTCGCCTTGAATCAAAGTCAACTCTACAGCAATTTTAAAAAAAAAACTGCAAACACCCCATCTTGGTCTTCTAGGCAGCTGTCACAAAATACCACACATGGGTGGCTATAAAGAACAGGTGTTTATTGTCCCACAGTTATGGAGGCTAGAAGTCCGAATTCAGGGTATCAACAGGGCCTGAGCTCTGTCAGCTGTAGGAGAAGGTCATTCTTTGTCTCTTTCACCTTTGGTAGCCCCGGGCATTCCTTGACTTGTAGATCTGACTTCCCTCTGTGTATCTCGCTGTGTCTAGTCTGTTTTTTTATAAGACACTTCTCATAAGTGACTAGGTTTAGGACCCACGCTACTCTGGCATGACCTGATGAACATAACAAAGAAACCCCTATTTCCAGATGGTCTCACCCACCAGTACAGAAGTTAGGATTCCAACACATATTTCGGGGGATACAATTCAATCCATAACACCCTATTTCCAAACAGGGTCATATTCACAAGTGTAGGGGTTAGGATTTCCACATAACTTTTTTGGGGCCAAAGTTCAGTCCCTAATATCTCCAGATGTTCATCAACAGGGAATTAAACCTATACACAAACTGTGATATATCTATGTGGTAGGGTGGCATGCTTTCTCTGTAAAGGGCCAGAGAGTAAAGGTTTTAGGCTTTGCGAACCAGGCAGTCTCTTACATTTTCTTCTTTATGTTTTGTTTTTTAATAATCTTTTGAAAGCTTAAGAACCATTCTTAGCTCTGGGACCATACAGAAACAGGCTGTGGGCCGAATTTGACCCCCAGGCCTTAGTTTGCAAACCACCAAAATATTCTATATCAGCAGTTCTCACCCAGGGGCAACTCTGCGATGCCTGGAGACATTTTTGATTGTCAAACTTGGGAGGGGGATGGATGGAGACCAGGGATGCTGCTCAACATCCTAGAGTGCACAGGGTGGCTGCCACCACAAGAATGTTCAGAACCGAATGTCAGTAATGCCAAGGTGAGAACAACCGGTCTGCAATGATGAGAATTAACAAAGTATTGGTACTTGGGGGTCCCTCGATGACACAAATGTTTTATGCTTGTCTGCTAACCGAAAAGTTGGTGGTTGGAATCCACCCAGTGGTGCTGTGGAAGAAAGGCCTGGCAATCTGCTTCCATAAAGATCACAGCCAAGAAAACCCTGTGGAGCTTAGTTCTACTCCGTAACACATGGGGTCACCGTGAGTCCAAATCAATTTGACAACAAGAGGTTGTATCGCTACCTGCAGTAACATCGATGACACCCCCACCCCACTGCAACCCCGGATACAGTTTCTCAGTGACAGGTCTGACACAGGTACATAAACCTCACTGACATCAAGTTCACAGGTGGTTGGAAGTGTGGACAGGGGTTCCTCTGCAGGTAGGGACTAAAGGGTCCCTGGGGCCAGCATATTCTATTTCTTGGTCTGAATACTAAGTACAGGGATCTGTACACTGTGTTCACACCTAGGAATTGAATGCTCTTCTATATCTCTGCAATCCCTCCATAAAAAAAAGTTTTTAATTTATTTTTCTATGATTATAAAAATTATTATTTCTTTATAATAAAAATAATGCATGTTAATTTGAGAAAAATTATAAAATTGGAGTCCCTGGGTGATACAAACGATTAAGTGCTCGGCTGCCAGCAGAAAAGTTGGTGGCTCTAACATACCCAGAGGTGCAGTTCCATTCTGCACACATGGGGTCGGTAAAATAACAGTGAAACCTGTGAGGGCTGGAACTCAATGGGACTGCTGTGTTTTTCCAGGTCTTGCAAGTTTTCTGCCTTTGACAGGGTGCAGTCTTACCAGTTTTCTGTCACTCATTTTAGTGGAAAATATTTGTGTTTTCCTTATCTGATAGGTTTCCACCTTACACAGTTTCCGGCTTTCGCAGTTTTTACTTATTTAATAGAAAAGGAGAAGAAAATCACCCGGGCTTCCAATTTTTGACAATAATCACTGTGTAATGTTTTGGTATGTGTTCTTCCAGAATTCATAAAAAATGTTATTAAAAGCTCCCCATCCAAAAAAAAAGTCAAGAGGACCTTCTGCAAGCTGCATTCATTCCACAGAGGGAGTGAGTCCTGGAGAGAAGGACCCAGCCTTTCTCAGATTTTGTTCCGATGGGCGCTTGCTGGTTTTACTAACGAAAGGCCGATTTTCTGGAAGTTTCCACAGCCTAGCAATGTCAGGAACAGTCCTAACACGGTCTGTTTTCTTCCCAAGGATTTTCTCCGTCCTCTCAGCCATCCTGTACCTGGGCAACGTCATCTACAAGAAGAAGGCCACGGGCCGCGATGAAGGGCTGGAGGTCGGGCCCCCAGAGGTGCTGGATACGCTCTCCCAGCTCCTCAAGGTACTGCCCACTGTCCTGACCCTGTGCCCCACCCCGAGCCTGGACAAGGCGTGCTGGCCTGCCAGGACCCAGGACTTCCTGCTTGCCCCCGCTTTTGAAACCGGGGCCTGCGCACTGCTTTCTCCCTGCCTCTCCGCCATGTCCCTTCATCATTTCTGGTGACCTCCTTGGGTGGGGGCTTCCCACACTACACCCCACAGTTCTCAGGGGAAAGACTCTTAAATGATAATGTGATCAGCAAGGTCATCTTATTGTGGGACCTACCAGCCCGTGGTCCAGGGGCCTCACCGGGGACGATTCTGCCCCCTAGGCGACATTTGTGGTTGTCATGACTAGGGGAGGGGTGCCACTGGCATCAAGTGTGTGGAAGCCAGGGAAGCTGCTCAACACCCTACAGTGCACAGGACGGCCCCACCACAGAGAATGATCCGGAACCAAACGTCAGCAGTGCCGAGGTGGAAAAACCCTGCTTTAGCATGAGAGACCCTGTCTGTCTATTTATCTGCCTATCTGTCTACCTACTTATCCACCCACCTACTTATCTATCTACCTACCTATCCACCTATCTACGTATCTACTTACCTGTCTACTTACCTACCTGTCTATCTACCTACCTACATACCTGCCTGCCCACTATCAGCCTATCTGTCTGTCTGTATTCCACTGGTTCTTAGCCAGTAGTGATTTTGCCCTCCAAGTACACTCAGTAATGTCTGGGGATATTTTTGGTTGTCACGACTTGGGGGGTGCTACTGGCACTGAGTGAGTGGAGGCCAGGAAGGCTGCTCAGCACCCTACAGTGCCTAGGATGACCCCACCACAGCGAATGATCTAGAACCAAATGTCATAGTACTCAAATTGGGAAGCCGTGGCCTAATAGTTGTTTCCTAAGTGTACCTTCTCCCCTGCGGCCCCTCTGAAGCACAGCGTAGCTGCGTGCAGATGCCATGGCTTCAGAAACATTCATCAGCAGGACGAGTGGGTGCAGGTCTGCTGGGATGTGACTCCAGACTCTCCCTCCTCCCACTTCTGCTGCAAGCGGGGAGAGGTGGTGGGTCTCCAGTGGGCCATCCTAGGAGGAGGTCCAAGCCCAGGCTCAGGCAGTGATGGCTCCAAGTGCAGATTGCCAAGCACTGTCTGGCCCCATGGCTGCCCTCACACCCAAGCCTGCGTGGCCACAACCTGGGCTGTCAACAGTGAGCCTGGAGCTAGCCTACAGAATGAGAATTCTGTGACCCACCAGCATAGAGCACGTCATGGATTAGCTGCCCTGGGCATGGGCTTTGGTACCCCTCCTGGCACAGCCGCTTTGGGTTCCATCCCCCTTCTTCCCAGGCCCAGCGGGGAGGCTGGCCATGCCCAGCAAGCTCCTCACCACCCTTTCTTCTCTCCCCCTGGATATCAAAACAGGTGAAGCGAGAGATCCTAGTGGAGGTCCTCACCAAGAGAAAAACGGTGACTGTCAATGACAAGCTCATCCTGCCCTACAGTTTCAGCGAGGTGAGCACAGCCCCAGGGCCTTTCCCGGAAAGATGGGTGGGCCAGCCCCTCAGAAAGAGCGGGCACAGGTGGCCATTTCACATCTGCAGGGTGATAGAGTAGACCGTGGCAGTGCCTCCGGCCTTCATGTGCGTGCAGGTATGGCACCAGCCTGTTTAGATGGCAAATTACAGTGGGGGCCAAATATGGCCCCCTATTTGTGTTTGTAAATAAAGTTTCCTTGACATACAACCACACACATTCATTTACATATTGTGTCAGTGGCTGCTTTTGGAGTCCCTGCTTGGTGCAAATGTCCATATTCTCAGCTGCTGACTAAAGGTTGGAAGTTTGAGTCACCAGAGGTGCCTTGAAAGAAAGCCCTGGCAGTCTTCTTCCAAAAAATCAGCCATTGAAGCCCCTATAGAGCACAATGCTGCTCTGATACCAATGGGATCACCATGAGTCGGGATTGACTCCATGGCAGCTGGTACTGATACAGCTACCTTCACGTTACAACAGCAGGGTTGAACTGTTGGAACAGAGTCTGGCTTGCAAAGCTGCAGATATTTACTATTTGACCATTTTCAAGAAAAGTTTGCCAACCCTTGGGCTTGAGGATGACCTTTAAGACCATTTCGTGGACTTCTAGCTTGGGGGTCTCGGGCCAGACCCCTAAATCTTGATAAGGTGCTTCCCTCTGGCCTTGGCCCTAGCCGGGAAGTATTCTTTCTGGGATATCTTTCTTGCAGTTCTATATTTCAAGACTCGATGTGGCCGACAGTGTGTAGCTTGGATTGCAGCAGGATCTACCTGACCAGAGGGGTTGCTAGTCGACGGAGGCCCCTCCCTCGTTGGGAAGCTGTTTGGGTGTTTTAAATGGTCTCTGTAGATAGCCTAGAGTCCTTGGGTGGTGCAGATGGCGAATGCGCTCAGCTGCAAACAGAAAGGTTGGAGGTTTGAGTCTACCCAGAGACACCTTGGAAGAAAGGGCTGGCAATTTACTTGCAAAAGGTCACAGCCTTGAAAGCTATGTGGAGCATAGTTCTACTTTGACACACATGGGGTCGCCATGAGTTGAGGTCGACAGTGGCAACTGGGTAATGCAAACAGTTAACACACTTGGCTGCTAACTAAAAAGGTGGTGGTTTCAGATTTACTGGCCTAAAGGAGACTGGAGAAACCTCGAGAGTATGGCCCCCAGACACCCTTTTAGCTCAGTGGTGAAGTTACCTCCGAGGTTCACT